GACAGCAGGAGGCAAAGAAATAGATGTATCTTCGAGTGAAAATAAAGTTTCTTTGCAAACCAAAGCATAGCAAATAGTAGTACTAGCATCAATCTCATCCAAATCAGATTTGGTGGCAAAGTAACAAGAGCCTTTCAGCTTGATCTCATTTTTATTATGATGAACAGATTTGCTAGACTTCTTATGTTTCTCAAGTTCATTAGCAACAATCTGATTTTCACTAGCAATAGCCTGATTCTTAAGTTTGCTAGATCTAGCAAGTTCATCTCTTAGAATAGCCTCAGGGGACATGGGGTGCAACACAATCTTCTTGTCATTATGCACAAAAGAGTATTGATTTGTTTTACCAAAGTTCAAGGAATCTTTATCAAACTGCCATGGTCTACCTAACAACATAGAGCATGCTTGCATAGGCACAACATCGTAGTCAATGGAATCATGATAAGAACCAATGGCAAACTCTACCCTTACCAATCGTGTTACCTTCACCTTGCCGCTGCTATTAAGCCACTGAATGTAGTAAGGCTGCGGGTGTGGTTTTGTGCTCAACAAAAGCTTCTCGACCATTTCAGCACTTGCCAAGTTGTTGCAGCTTCCTCCATCTATGATCACACGGCAAGAGTGTTCCTTGATCACACACTTGGTTTGAAACAAAGTGTGGCGCTGATTTTGTTCAGCCCTCTCCATTTGCGCACTTAGCACCCGCTGCACCATGAGGCTCTCATAGTGCTCAGCAGCTTTAGCCCCAATGTGCTCTTCGTCTTGTTGGAAATCATCTCCTTCGGCTACATTGTTAGCAGCAAGCAAAGCATATGTTTCTTCATCAAAATCACTAGCAAAGGAGTACCCACCATCAGCTCGCACAACCATCACACGTGTGCTTGGGCAGTCCTTGCTTACGTGGCCATATCCTTTGCAGCGTAGGCACTGAATATCCCTTGTTCTCCCCGTGGATACCACCGAGGATGAACACTTGGCAGATGTAGCCATTGCTCCTCTAGTTGGTTCACTTGGGCATGGTACAAAATTTGTTGTAGAGGAACGTGGCTTGATGGTCAAGGAAGATTGTGGGGGAGCACGTGTTGACGGTGCAGCTGCATTGGAGGGTGTCCATGGGCTAGCATGACCTTCAGGAATGTTAGCCCTCATGCTAGCTCATCGTCCCTGCACTTCTCATTCAGCTTTACAAGCAAGGTGAAATAAACGATTGACAGAATTATATTCCTTGTAAGCTAGAATGTCCTGAATCTTCCGGTTCAGCCCACCCATAAATCTAGCTATGGCACCATCCTCATTTTCCTCTAGCCCATAATGAAGCATACCCATTTGTAGCTCTTGATAGTACTCTTCTACAGATTTGGATCCTTGCCTCAATTGTCGCAACTTATGTAAAAGATCACGGGCATAATAAGAAGGAACAAATCTAGCCCGCATGACCCGTTTCAAAGCATCCCAAGTTGGTGTGTTATTTGGGTTCTTACGATGGCATTCAGACCACCAAACAGAGGCAAAGTTAGTAAACTCACTAGTGGTAGCCCTAACACGTTTGTCCTCAGGGAAATCATGGCAAGTAAATTTCTGATCAACAGCTAATTCCCAACTAAGGTACATATCAGGATTATACCTGCCATCAAAAGTAGGTATGGTGAATTTAATCTTGCCAAATGAGTCATTGGCATGTACCTCTTGCCGTGGTGGGCGAGGACCTGTCTCATGGCGGCGGCGATGTTGTTCGATGCATCGATGACCATTCACCTCCTCATCTAGCTCAGTGTCCGCTGCATATTCTTCTTCATCATGACCTGCAGCACTGCCCATGGTGTTGTTGTTGTTGTGATTGCGTCGTTCAAAACCATCACAGTGATTATGTTCCATCCTCTCCAATCGCTCCAAGACACCTACAAGAGATGTATTAACAGAACCAAGAGTGCCTTCCAAGGAAGCCAACTTGGTGTTGGTATCAATCTGAGCCATCTCCAATTGACCAAGGCGCTCATTGGTGACACGGACATCCTCATCAAGGTGTTCAACATGGAGCCTCACTTTGCGTTCAAAGTGTTGCAGCAAGGCTTTTGATCGAGGTGATTGTGGAGGGGTACTTTCACCTTCTCCTGCCATGGTTAGTATGCAGCAAGGGAATCATAAGAAAATATGTCCTACCAACTAATTGAATTAGGTGACAACAATTTTTATTCTCTCAGCATGTGCAACCGAGTTCTTACATGTCCTTACCTTGCTATGCAGATGGTGTTGGTGACAACAAGAACAACACAAGTAGTAGCAAGTAGAACCCTGTGATGTTGTAGATAATTTGTGGAGCTGTAGGTGGCTTAAAAAAATTAAGGTACAGCTGAAACCACGTTAGTCAATGCAAGTTGAATAAGTGTTCAAAGATAGTACCATGCTGGTCCTAGGCTAACCCATGCTAGAGACGTGAGCCTAGACACAAATGTTGTCACCGGACAGTAGCAAACAATGGAAATGATGAGAGTAAATAGCATCAACTTAACCTTTTTTTGTTTCTTTCTTTCCTCCTTTTCCTTTCTTTTTCTTTTCTATTTTCTATTGTGTTTTCTTTTTCTTTTCTTTTCTTTTCGACAAGTAGCACAAACTAAACTTTTGCAATATGATTATAACAAGAATGCAGCAAGTAGCATAGACTTTCTTTTACTAGGGATAAGGATTGCAACAAGTAGTACAAATATGCAATTTTGAACTCTCTTGTTTTCAAAACTGAGTGTACTCAGATTTGCACCAAAAGGACAGATGCATAAGGTATTGTTTGTGTAGGCACGGCTGAAGGTGATGGTGGTGAGGGTTTTAGCGAAAAGGTGGAGAGAGCAGCGGTGCTTTTGGTAGTGATGGTGGTGGTATTGGTGTAGATTGCAGCGGCAGAAGTGGGGGGAAAGGCAACAACGAATTGTGTGGTGACTGAAACATGACAAGAACTTGAAACTCTAAAGGATTAGAACCTAAGAAATAGCACTTGACACCACAATGTAAACCACAAACTCAACAAGCAAAGAACTAAGCAGATCAGCAAGGCTCAAACTTGTGTTTGGAATTTTAGTTCTATCCTATTTTTATATTTCTGGACTATAGGTAAAGTAATGAACGGTAAATCACTCACCAAAGAACCTTGCTCTGATTACCACATGATGGGGCAAGGGGTTGCTCCTGATCTTTTGGTGAGTGTGGATAAACTCGATTTGGGGTGGATTCGACGTTGGCTGTCCGACTACAATGACCACAAGGTTGCTGCGCCTTAGCAACAGGTACACCGGCTCCGATTGTGATGTTCTTGTCGTGCCAAGAACACCATGAACCTGCAAGCAACCGAGAACAAGCAAGAACAAGATGAACAAGCAAATAACTCATGGATTTAAGCCAAAGGCTGAATCTGAATCACAAGTTGGGGTCTTGAAACAAGCAAATCAGGTGGTCTAGCCGACACACGTGTTTACAAGGAAGAAGCAGCAGCTATCTTGCATCTAAACAAAACCCACCCTCATTCTGATGGCTGCTGGTTCTATTTATAAGGAGGAGAGCACAAGGGGGAGTGGGAAACCCTAATCTAGGCGCCCCTCAATGGGCTGTAGTCAGTACAAGGCCCAGGCCCAAGCTGTAGGTCTGTACATCCTTTTGCTTGCTGCGCACAGCTTCGATAGATTCTAATAGTGGGGTTGGACCCATCTGAAAGAGGACGACGTGCTCTTTCCAACAAGTCAAAAACCTGCTTCATTGGATCTCGTATCAAGGAGTTATGGTACTTTTGATGGAGTGTTTCCTGCTGTCTCGAGATGAACTGAGCGCCCCATTAATGATGATTCCCACTTGTTTGGCTACTCCATCCTCATCATGGGGTCTAAACATGAGGCAATGTGGTCTTGACCAACATTCCTAAGAATAAGACAATCATCACCATGATTTAGTAGCATCCAATTCTAAGACGAGTTTGTATGAACAACGAGGAACGACTTTACCTGATAATTAAGTTGTCGTGGTCAAGCTCTTGTCATCGGACCTTGTTGTGCAGTAGGTGTGGTTGTATCAATGGAAGGGATGTCCTCATCAGGCGCTGTCCACGTGTGAGGCAGAGTATGTGGCAGCGGCCACAGTGGCGTGCCAAGCTGTGTGGCTGCGTCGGCTGCTGGGCGAGCTAACCGTTGTGGAAGCTCACCCACCAGCACTAATGATGGACAACCAGCCTGCCATCGCCCTCACGAGGAATCTGGTTCTCCATGACCAGAGCAAGCATATCGATGTCAAGTTCGACTTCCTCAGGGACTGTATCATTGGAGGGCAGATCATCATCGAGTTTGTCGAAACTGGTCGACAACTTGTGGATGTCCTCACCAAGCCGCTTCGCCATCTTCGGTTCACGAAGCTAAAGAAGATGATCGGCATGAAGGGGGTTATAGGGTTAGCAGCAGGATTAGGGGAAGAATTGTTAAGTAATCTGCTGCTCGCTGTGTGAACGCGCGGCAGGGGCAGGCGCCGAAAGGGCTCCCTGCTGCTGCACTATAGCCGCTATAGGGGTAGGCGCCGAAAGGCTCCCCTACCGCACTGTAGCCACAGTAGGGGCAGGCGCCAAAGTGAGCCCTACTGTCACATCTATATACTGTAGCAGCATGGCAGCCTAACATGTATGTGTACTAGGATTAGATGGGTAGAGTTGTATATATAGTTTCCCATTGTAACTCAGTAAAGAGAGTGAGTTCAGTTTTGCCATCTCCTCTACAGAGCTTTGGCCAACGCTGGTGCTTGTGTTGTGTGTGTGCGCGCTCTGGTCTCCCTCCCTTCTTCTACCTCTAGATATAGTGTGTGGTCGACAACACTGGTGAGTGGTCGGCTCACCCATGCCGGAGATCCAGGGGCCAACAAGCTCGGTCATGGTGGCCCAGCCGAAGAAGCAGACTACTATAGAGGTGGGATTGGCAACGGACGACTCTACGGGCCAGACGCAGCAGCTCACAGCTAAGGGGCTAGTGGTATAGGCCATGGTTGCAAATCAAAATCAAGTTCTCGATTTGGGGAAGCCGACCACGACGGTTACTGTGGCTGCAGCTCGTGATTCACAGAAAAATGCACCTTTCAAGCAGCCATCTATCATGAATGATGAGGAACAAGTGGAGGTCTCAGTGGGGCAGTTCATTGGGGCAGTAGAAGGAGTGATTGCAGATGGTGCACAACACCTTGGTGCTCTTCTTGATGCCATGATAGAAGCCGGAGTGTCAGCTGATGGTGGGTCAAAAAAAGAATTGGGGAGTGTCATAAAAATGGCGGTTCTGTTAGATGGAGTGCTTACCCCAGTGCAGCGTAGCAAGCGGAATGCGGATGTGGCTGATGTAGACTCTCTTGAGAAGGCATAAAAAAGAGTTGCTGTCAAGAACCTCGAGGAAACCCAAGGTAACACAAATGTAAATTCAGTTTGTTCATTCTCTAATGTTTGTATTGAGCAAAACTTAGGGGGAGTGGGCATTAGTTTGGGTGAGAAAGAAAATTTAATTCTTGGGTCTGTAGCTTTAATCAAAGATGTTGAAAGGGAGAGACTGAAACCTTCTAATTATTTTAACAAACATGAGAACAAAAATGATTTTGAGGAGGATGAGATCGATCCTGACACCTTCACTATCGGTCGACTCTATGGCGACTTAATGGAGGAAGTGATAGATGATAATAGTGCGGACCTTGATGGAGTACTTGTAAATGTACCCATCAAGGAGGCAGAGTAAAAATAAAAAGAACCCCTCAATAAGAATTGTCGGGGTTATGATCCCCGGGTGTCTCAAGACATCGAATAACAGGCAGGCCGGACGGCCCGCGATACTAAAGCCAAACTTGAGCCCGAACAACTGAGGCCTAGCTAAGCTAAGCGGACCAGGCTAATCACTGAGGTTGGGGTCGGCCACGACCTCTCCCTCCTGCCTTAGACACACTCAATGCAGCAGCTCATGACCTGTCACCATCCTGACCTATACAGGGAACCATGAGAGATCGAGTCTGCCACAGCGCACCTGCTCTGACAGGAGCAGGCACGCCGCACTGACCCCACAAGGACTGAGGGGACACTAGTCACCTGGTCTAGTTAGACGCCATCCCTGTGCCACACTGCAGAAACAAGACAACACCGCATAACGATAAAGTCTAGTACGGAGAACCACCGTCCAAATACGACCTGACAAGACGTTCATACGATCCCACCCGCTACGGGATGGGATCCACGACGATGGCCTTGACTTAGAGGCCATCAAAGCCAATGCGGGCCATGCCCCTGGAGTTCAGGATCGAGGCAACTAACTCCACAAGTAGCAAGATGATCGACGACAAAGGGGGGCTACCTACTCTTGTACGATGCCCCCGGATGATTAGGAGGCGATGACAAAGACCACAACAAGCCCATGTCACGCAGGATGGCTGGCGAAACATCACCATGCCCACAGTACCGCCATGGCAAGCACTATGGCACCATGTCATGCCATGCTACGACATGAGCACGAGGCCATGATGATAGCCACTCCAGGGCATGCACCACAAGATAGTGTTACCTGCAAGCCAAGTTAGCTAGGCCCCCTCCCTCAGGCTCATGACCCCTCGGTTGAGAGAACATCCTTCTTTGTAACCTAGCTCTGGACTCTATATAAGGGCAGCTAGGGCCTCCTTTCGGGGCATCCTATCATTCTCATTCTGACCACATCTCCATTCTCTCTGGGCTCATGAAGGTTTCCTTTGGGGAGCCCTTCTTCTAGCTCTAGCTCTCCTACCTCTTCATCCATTCTTGTACCCCCCATTGTAAGAACTTTAGAGCATTCAAGCGAGGAACACACACTCAATCATCTCTAAGACTAGACATAGGGCTTCGACCTAAACCAGTATAAATTCTCATGTCTTTTGGAGGCTACCATCGTCTTCTTAGAGCAGTGCGACATTTGTATAACTTTAGTAGTCTAGTTTACGAAATACCAACAGTTGGCAAGCCAGGTAGGGGGCAGCCGCGCACTCTCATTTGTTGAGAAGGAAGCGATGGCTCCTCAGACAGTTGATGGACTCACTCATGGAATGGCCCGTGGCGGCCACATCCATCATGAAAACCACGGGTCCATCAGCTTCGATGGGCCAGCATCCTATCCGCGTTCTGCCATGGCCCAAACCTTGGCTCTGGAGGTCTGGACCCCATGGCTTATTGCAAACACACTCTTGGAACTGCCCTCAGCGGCTACATCCCAGAATTCACCTACATAGATGGACCAACACCCTCTCTTACCACCGGCCATGGCCAGGTTTCCTACCCAGGAAATCAGAGGCCTATGGCTCATGGCGAACTCACCCACGGAATGGCTCTCGGTGGCCACATCCTTTTGGGAAACCATGAGATCATCCACAACCCATGGTCTAACACCCATCACCGGCCTCTACCCCATCTAGGCCCACCACGTGGGAGGCCTAGACCCTATAATAGATCCATGCACTAAGCAACACCGCCACCAACGGAACGCGAGAAATCGGGGTGCACACGAGCGAAGAAACCACTTGCTGCCATGTGGCATCGTCGTCAACGATCAGATGGCCACCAGGCATCATGCCTCGCAAGGCCAAGCTTAGAATCAGGGGCTAGCCCCATGAGGCGGACCAACCATCTGTCACACCATTGCGAACTGTTAGCTTTTACACAGAGGCACATGCATTCAAGGAAGCGGGTCCCCTGAGCGCACAATGCACCACGCCAAGCAGACCAAACTGTGTTGCCCTCAGAACCCACTTCCATAGCGATAGATCAAGCTAGCTCTTCACCAAGAGCGGCAGCCATGCCCAAAAGCTAGGATGCGGTGACCTCGATGTCGATTGGCCATGGGAACTCATGCACCAGAACGCACGAGCCCTCCAGGCCAAGAACTTCAATGAGCCGGTCATGAAGAAACCGTCCCTGGGGACTCACGAGCCCACCAAGGATGTCGAGCCAACAAAGATCAACCCAAGGCCACCGGAGAGGTCGATCTACGACAGCTACATCCATTCCGGGTTTGAGCTTCGCCTCGCCTGACCCTAAGGCCACTCCACCCCTCCCGACCCCGATGGCATGGGCTTCGCCTCACCTAACCCCGAGGGCATAGACTTCGCCTCACCCAGCCCAAGGGCGCGGGCTCCCTCTCGCCCGACGGCGGTCCGTACCGCTCCCAACCACTATGGGTCTAAAAGTATGAGTTCGGGGTCAAACTTCTAACGCTAGATGGGGAGCAGGCGCGTCTTAATGTGACCTGCGGCCACGACAAGCCACGTCTAAGGACGCACGTCGCCAATAGCATCGGGCATACCAGTGTTGTGCTACCTACTCCTCATATGGCCTCCAGCGGAGGCGTTAGCGAGCCATACTATCCGCTAGGACAGGATGGAGCACCACGATCGGCTGACAATGCCCAAGTACGATGCTAGTGACGAACAGGACCGCGATGAGGAGCCATCCCCATCGTCATCTACAGGGCCGATGGGACCCACGTAAAGGAAATGGAAGACTTTGCAATCCTGGCAGCCTTCCTCTTCTTGTCTCTCTCTCTCTCTCGATGTAACCTACATCTCCCCCTTCATCTATAAAATGGGGAAGCAGGGCACCCCATGGGGGGAATCCTAAGACACATCTAACACATCTGAGCGGCGGAAGACTTAGGCACTCGGCAGTAGACAGAGAGCTCAACCAGACTGACTCTTTTTCACCAGAGACTTGGGACCCTCGCCCTCTCTTGCTTGTTTGTAACCCCTACTACAAACCAAGTGCCGGTAACACGAGCATCAGTAGACTAGATGTAGGGACGTTCTGCCCGATCCAGTATAAATCCTTGTGTCCTCTGAGCATAGCCATCTGGGTCAGATGCATAAACTAAAAATTTACTAGCCGGTGATTTGAAACACCGACAGTTAGCACGCTAGGTAGGGGGCTTTTACGCATCTCGTCATCCACAATAGGCCATGGATGGCTAGCCACGGTGTTAGTTGGGTCCCGAGCATGCACGTGCACTTCGGAAGCCTGGACTTCATTATCACCATGGAGGGAGAGCTGGCTCGGGCTCCTGCCCCTGTCCAACTTCCTTGCTCCACCGACCTCGACGCAACCATCGAAGCCTTCGAGGAGCTATAGCTGCGCACATTGGACGCCCATGTCCCTAGGAGCAACCAGCTCCTTAGCTTCGATTACGAGAGGTTGGAGCATCAGCTCGACTCCTTCCTAGGACCCCGACCATCCCGAGAGGATGTGCGATGCCTCACCTTCTTCTTCGCCAATGTCATAACGTAGCTTGTCGAAAGGGAGCCGCTCTCCCTAGAATATCTCACCTGGGATGCCCCGACAACGTTCCCATTCGGTCTGCACAATACCACAAGGTCCATTGGCCCTACCTCGCGATACAGTGCATGTGCCCACCTCCCATGGATGACGAATTTGTGGGAATGGCTGATTACATCGCGGAGTCTTTCTACGACCTTCTCGTGGGAGATTCAGAGTCAATCTCCAGCTCTGACTCTAGTAGGGGGAGCCATCACCCTCATGAGAATATTTTATGGCAGGTACCCCCGAAGGACGCGTCGAAAGTGTCCATGAGGAAGGGGCTACCCCACCGAACAACTTCAACAATGAAGTCAAAGAAGATGCGGGGGACCTTCCCCGCATGCAGATGGAATAGCTAAGGGCATGACATCAGGAGCTCAAGGATGTGCGCCTCCAGCTAGAGCAGGAGCGCGCAGAGCTTGAATGTGAGATCAAGCGTCATGGGGATGGTGGCCGCGCACGCGCCATCGCCCATGACGTAAACCAGAGGATCATCGAGGATGACGGAGGCCTCCCGCACTTTGCCTAGGTAAGTCAAAACATAGCTACCGCGGTGGCCCTACTCCGAAGGCTCTTGGAGCCTGCGACACCTGAAGACAGTTGGACCCATCGTGAGATCCACACGCTGCTTGAGCGAGCAGCAGTGCAACAGGCGGAAACTCGCTATCCCAGCGATGCGAGCTCGATTCCAGTCAGCGCGTGTCTTTGGGATGACATGGTCGGGACATGTCCATCCACCAGGTGCCACACGACAGCGGGTGACTTGCCATTGTCCCGGTGCATGAGCGTCTCGGCCCCAACCGTGACGCATGCAACACCCTAGACGCTCATAGGCACGGAAGGGGTGACAAGAGAGAGGAGGACAGCCATGACTACCATCCTTGTCATGGCAGATGCTACGACAGTGGCGAAGACCAGAGCCTGAGCCCTGACCTGCCGAGGCCCCAGGCTTTTGGCCGACACATCCTCAATGCGGCTTTCTCGCCGTGGTATCGACCGCCGACCAACGTCCTAAAGAACTCTAGGGAGATGAACCCTGGCTTGTGGCTCAAGGACTACTAGCTTGCTTGTCAAGCCAGTAGTGTGGATAGTGATTACTTCATTATCTGCAACCTCCCCTTGTTCCTAGCCTATTCGGCGTGAACATGGCTGGAGCACCTTCTGCCCAACCAGATTCAAAGTTGGGGGGACTTGAAGGTGATCTTTGTAGAAAACTTACAGGGCACCTACACGTGCCATGGGAAACCCTAGGATCTAAAAAATTACTGACAGAAGTCCGGAGAGACTCTCTATGAGTACATCCGACGCTTCTCTAGGCAATGCAATGAGTTGCCTGATGTCACCGATGCCGACGTCAATGGAGCCTTCTTGTTTGGGGCCACCTACGAGTCCCTGGTCCACAAGCTAGGACGTAAGGGC